ATAAATATTTAAAAATATATGTATTAATTTTTATATTAACTTTGTAAAATAAAGCCATAGATTTCGTGCTATTCAAGTTTATATTATTTTTTAAACGTCACGAGTGTATTATTTATTTAAGCCTAATCTTCTCATTGAAGAATTTTTATCAGCTTTTGTGGTTTTATTATGTATGCGCATATAAGTATGGGAAATTTATGCGATCTAAAATTCGTAATCAGAGAACGTCTTTATAAAATAGAGACACAAGAACGATAGACAAGGAAATTGCGGGACTCACCGTACATCTTCCCTTCGTCGGAAAGGATGATTTTGCGTCGACCGCATGGCGGATATATGGTAAGAGCTTCTTGGAAGCTCTGTTCGATATCCGGCGACCACACACCCTCCGCGTCCGCTGCCGACAGGTCCTTCTCGTCCTGGAAAATACGATCATCTAATTTAGAATAATCTAAGAAGGGAGAGCGAACTGTAATTACAGCACATCACTTATAGTCATGTGTTTTTCATCTTTAATAAAGTTCTAACGGTTATCATCAGCAGAAAAAGATATAACATACTATGCAAAATTAATTGGCTAATTTTACGTAGTATATAATAAATATAAGAAATTAATATCGTCTAACGCTCATGACAAAATATGTTACATAGTTTTTAAATTAGTATCTGTTGTATTTTTGTTTTGGCAATTGATTAATTAATCCTTTACACTCTGATGTAAAGATAAAATCGACAGAGCGATTTAAACCATGCATTTTCTACGCATTTTTTTTTTTTTTTTTTTTTTTTTTGTAGACAATCGAGCCAATAAGTAATTATTATTGGCAAATATCTTTTTTTTAAACATATGTTGCAATTAGATTCGAACTCTTGCCAATTTCCGATCGAAGCATTCTCAGTATTCCGAAACTGCCAATTCCATCGCGCGAACATTCATCACGTTTTTCACGATCGCATTTCGTCTTGCGAGAGAGTGTCTTCGCCGCGATGCACTTTGGCGACCTGGGCACGTTCGACACGAGAAAAGTTCATTTATCTACGATTCCGTCGCTGACCGCGCGCGCGTGCGATTTATCCACCGGGTCGATCGCGAGCGTGGCTGGACCTCTCGGAGACCTTCCTCCCTTCGAAACAAAGGATCTTCAGAAGCCGCGAAGCCACGTCTGGAACGTAGCCTCCACTGAGCGTACCCTCGATTCTCTCCTTTCTCGACAAATCGAGCGAGCCTCTCGCGTTCTATTTCCGTTTTTCTTTCGCACATCCGTCTCATTGAGCTTCGTGGCACGGTGTTCCATAGGATGTGTCTTCTATTTCGGGGTCGAACGTTTTTTGCCCGATACACGTTTTTTGTACGATACACTGGAACAACATCTAGTAGTTCACGGTAATCGTCGGAACCGGAATTTCAACGAATCTAAAACCTCCGTGCTGCACGAAGAGCCGAGAAACGGACGATTATCCCGGGCGTTTAGATACCGAGAAGTGTGGAAAGGGTGCGAGGAAACACAAGCTTGTCCGTTCCGAGAACCCTAGTCACGTTCGCTATGTTCGATATAATATCGTCGAGCACGCAATCCAGAACGGGAGACTCTCCAGATGGTACGAAAAAGTCCTCGATTTGATCTCGTCCGCTTTGAGGATCGAGGGGGCTAAGAGTAGATCACCGATAAACGCTACCACGAATTGATATTAGTTTGAATTGCTAAATCAATGAGGACAGTTTACCGAGAATAATAAACAAAGAAGAAAAATATTATTTATCTCGTTATAAATAAATAAAAGACATAAATAATAAACAATAAACAAACAATAAAACTTAATAAATAAATAGCTTATATAAATAATAGATAACATAGTAGAGAGATGATAAATAATAAATGAGTAAAATGTCTAAATGTCTTTTCATCGCGTCGAGGAAACTAAAAACAAAAAAAAAGAGCAAGGAAAGAAAGTTAAATTGCAAAGGCGATGTCTTGCTTCGAAGTTATTTCGTACTTCTAACTCAATTTGCACTAAACTAATAAATTAATGCTTAACTAATTCTCCGAATTTCCGTGATACTATTTGGATGTATTATAGTAGAATATATGCACAAATAAATTGTGCAAATAAATTAAAAATAACCAACAAAGCGGTTTAATCTTTAATTAAAGCAGCAAAGCTTATTGTTAGAGAGACTGGAATGTGTTTGTTGCACAATTCTCTCATTTAAAGGTTTCTTTTTTGACATCGAGTAGATCTTTTCAGTATGAAAGTTAATATGCAAACATTGAAGAAATTATAAAATATATTACGTAATATAAATTATATTATTCAACTTTGAATATCTCTCTTGGTGATGCTAGATTTCTTATAAAATTTACATATGATTTTAAGATCACAATTCTTTATCAAATTATGAAATAATTCTTTCTCTGCCGAAATCAAAAATATATTCTAATTACAAAGTTATCTAATTGCTAATTAAATTCTGCAAGTATAAATAAATAATAAAATTTTATTCTTTCATTAATTTAAGGCTAACTTAATTTAAAAGGCTAAATTATATTTTAGCAAAAAAATATTTAAAGTTTTAAAAGGCAATAATACAATAAAAATTATTAGTTATATAAAATGGACCATTTTAATATATCAGCTTCCACTTAGTTTTTGATATCAGAAAAAAAAATTATTTTTGATAAAAGAGTTTGACAATTTTTTTAGAGAGAAAATATGATTTAGGGAATATACTTTTTAAATCATGTGCATATCCATATCCCCGTTAAAAAAATTAGGATTTTATTTAAAATAAGAAGCAACTAAAATAATTAAAATCATACATTGTATATATAGGTTTCTTCTTTACAATAACAATAATACAAATATCAAAATGATTCAATATCAAAAATACAATCACTATAGTGATTGTACGTATACCGAATCACAGTGACAACATCGTGTTGCGACTGCAACGACGAAAGATGAATGACCGTTTAAGAACGGGGTCAAACAAAGTGACGTTACCGAGTCCTCGACATCCGGCCAGGTGTTCAAAAGCGGATACTCGCGTGTCCAGTGGCACTCACTCGTCTGCAGCATCCGTGGTCGGTAGGCCTTTAACGACTTTGTTAAAGACGCGGTATTTAATCGTACGTTTCTTTCGCGCGCGAGAGATGAATCTTCCGCCGACCGGCGAGAAGCGCGTGAGGCCAGCTAGGTTTTGCGAGTACGGACGATTACGCGAACACTAACGCGGCCGTTCACGAGCGAGCGTAGTTCGATAAGAAACACCGGATGCCAATCGAGGATGATTATGCCATAACTGTAGACGAGTGGAAATACGCGTGCCCGTACGTCGAAAACAGAAAGGTTTTAATAACCGAACGACCATTTGTTTGACACGCATTTCATCCAAGATGCGGAGTACGATTGTGTTCGCTCACAATAGCGCGAAATGAGATTGAAGGCATCAAGTCAGAATTAAATAAAAGATAAACAATCTTTTAAGATGTTTGAAAAAAACTTACAGAATACAGTCTTTCGAAAAATTGTTATATGCAGTATATTTGAAAAATTCCACGAGATCAAAAAATATATATAAAGAAAAAAATTGATAAGAAATCTTTTACTACATTATATTAAGGAGAACTTTTTGGAAAGTTTTGATAAGAAAATCTCAATTAATTTTGATAACTATCTCAAAAAATTACACCTATACTTCGCGGAGATTTTTATTTACAACTTCGCGTAAAATAATAAATATCCTTTGGTTAATCTTATTTATATTAACTTTAAACACTATGATAGTTTAAAGGGTTGTATTTCTTCATGACAAAGGTAAAGGCGAGCCAGAAAAAAAGCTCGTTTCTTCGAATTCCAGTCGCAGTTAATTGCAATAATTAATTAAAATAAAAAAGAAGCATAATTACGCTTTTATATTTGGCGTAGCCGTTCTTAATTGACATAGTTGACTTACATCGCTAATTTCGCCAACGTCGAGGTTCTTCGTATCCGAGCCGGAGCCGTTGGCGTCGGGCGGCGGCCCGGAACTCGCGGGGGTCCACGGCGCGGAAATGGTGTCGGCTGCAGCCACCGCACTGCCTGCAAACAAACGAGGAACAACTTTGGTTTATTAACTTTTCTCGGAAAAATCCTAGTCTCAAGCTGCGCTCGCAGAGCTCAGGCGCCTCGCGAGATGAAATTACGAAAATGACTTGAATTTATTTCGCGCAGCAGAAAGTAATGACCATAAATTAACTTCCCACGAAAGTTACGTGTTAGAAGTTATATTCATGGTATCGAAAGAATAGTACTGAAATACGTAGATGAGAAAATTATATATGAAATAATAAAAAAAAAATGCTGAAATAAAAAGGGCGATATGTGTAATAGAAAAAAGCAATCTCATAATTTTATTACATCTCTTCCTATAATAATAATAATAATCATCTCTTTTAACGGTAATAATATAATATTATAATTAAAATATTAATAATGCTGTTAATCGCAACATAGGGAAAAGTTATAAAATTTCTCAATCATTCGTAGTTTCACCATCAAAGCCATTATGGTACTTCCGGGACACCCTGCATATAAATTCCCAATTTCACGTGCGTTATTGTTTCTAACAATGTACGCGTTGCGGAATAACGAATTAATTCCGCTGGCCATCATGCGGTGAGCTCGTTTTCGACAGAGCGGAATATTATCCTATCGGATTAGTTACGGGAAACGGCAGAGGGCAGAGAGAGAGAGAGAGAGAGAGGGGGGCACACGTACATACGGGGTTCGGGGTGGGAGTGATGACGGAAAAATCAGCACGTAAAAAATCGCGGTCCCAGGGGATGGGGGGTGGCAGGAGGAAGAGGACAGAGACGGCACTTGATCGTCGTCGCTTTCTACGCTCGTCGGAGCAACAAGTGTTCGCTGATATCGCGTATCAGTGCCACGATGGCAGGTGGGGGTAGCTCGTAGGCGGTACACTCCGCCTACCGGGGGTGGAGTGCGTGTGTTAAACCCCCGGAAGAGACCCCTATCCCCGACGGGGTTGCCGGTGGCGGTACGAATCCCGATCCGTAGCAACAACCACCCCCGAAAGCCGAGTGTTCTCCCCCTAACCCCCCCGTCCCCGTTCGATCCCTTTCTCTCCCTACATCCTCCTCCCCCTCTCATCCCCCTGTGGCATTCATCGCGATGACGAAATTCATCGGAGAATCATTCGCGGAGGCTTGTGCGCATGTGCCGACCATATCCCAGTTTTCGGGGAGAAACAAGACGGATAATTGTTAATTATACGCAGATATTCGTGTTACATGTTACACTTTATGCGTTTGCAGCAAAATATGTCACGTTTTTGCAAAAAAGATTGCGTTACTATTATATGTATATTTAATATATATGTATATATATATATATGTATATATTTTTTTAAATCTTAATATTTACCAGATAGTCTGTTCTGTATTTAAAAAAAAAATGCATTACTCTTCAGAATAAATTTCTTGGTATTACTTTTTTATGTATAGTAAATATTTAAAAATATCCATCGCTCGTTTTATCCGATTAGAGAATTATTCGACTTGTGAAAGGCACGTCTGCGGCATCCTGTATAAAAAGATGAGCAAGTCAATCCTCGGTACATATGTTTCTCGCGAAAATGCACGGGCGATCGTCGTGGCCAACGGTGAATATGCGAGTGCAATATGCAGTCTACAAAATGAGCGGTGGCTTAATAGAGATGCGAGACGCACGTGCAACGAGCTACGTACATATATGCGCGCGCCGATATGTGTGCGTTACACGTGTGCACGTGCACGAGTCCGAGCCGGAACGGGCAGAAAACATAGATCACAGAGGATGACGTATGGTTGCATTCGGCGTGCTCGCAGACGAGGGAGGAAGAGAAGAGAGAGAGAGAGAGAGAGAGAGAGAGAAAGATGGAGGTTACCCACCAAGGGATGGAAATGTTCGGATGAAGGATAGGGTATGACCAGGCACACGGTCGTGATAGGGTGCAGGAACTTTGAGAGGGAGGCGCCTCTCTCTCTCTCTCTCTCTCTTTCTCGCTCGCTCTCTCGTCGGCGAAACCTCGGAATGTCCTGGCGGCTACTACTACGATCGCGGTAGAGATCGCGAACGTGCCACGTCCTTCTCCGTTATCCGTTCTGCTCGGTGCTAGGATATTACGGTGCTAGATTCTCCCTGTCCGGTCCGGCTTGTTGAGTAATGATCGAGTCGCGACAAATTTTCGGCTTGCGAAGAGGGACGGTGGCAAGCGCGCGCGCGCGTCACTCGAATAGGTCGGATTCAGTAAATTGCTTAGCTTTCTACTCGGAGCCGCACACACTTAAAGTGATATTTAATGAATCTTGTAATAGAGTGATACATAGTTTCGCACGCAAAGCGATACCAATCTTTCTGTATTTGCATCTTAGAGTAGAGTTCTTTTCAAATTCATGTCATACTTATAAATACCTCTTATAAATAATTTATAAATATTCCATAAATATGATGGGCAAATATATAAATATATACGTGTTATATCTTTGTACTTTTTTGACAAATATAATTGTGTGGCATCACCTTTCATGATTTTCTATTTTACAAGATTTTAGCTTAGAAAACCGAAAAGAAACCTACTTTCCATTTCTTTTACCGTGAAAAAAATATTAGCCAATGCAACTAAGTAATACAATTTATTAAAGGAATGCAAAGACGTTGCATGTGCGCCTCGAAATAAAACTTCTCAATTTAACACTTAGTATTGCTTTGTTATACTTTACATTAATTCAACTGTGTTTAGACTATTAAATTACTGAATCTCGCCGAGATTCTACTGAAATGAGAATTATGGATAATGTAGAACACTCGTAGTAGAGGTTGCAACAATGCGACGAATGAAGAAACTTGATAAAGACAGAGAGAGAGAGAGAGAGAGAGAGAGAGATGGACGTTTTGGAATGTCGCGAACATTTGCGAGAATAAGATTGCCACGTCCATCTTTCAACACATTCTTGCGAGTTTAGTTCCGCAGTATATCGTGTGTGCAGTGAATCTTATGGCTGTCAAAAACTCCATATCGTAATTTTTGTTAAACACATAATTATTCCATCTCTTTATCTGCGACTACTCGCATATATGCTATATTTTTAAAAATGAAAATTTAAAAATAAAATTATCCAAAAATTTGCGGCGCTTTTGAAATAACTTTCTCAGAATATCACAAAACTATTGATAGAAAAATGCAAAAATAAAATGTAAATTATTCGTAAACTTTATATCTCATCTTTGCGTTTCAATTAAAAAATATTATAACATGAAAATTTCGCGGGATTAATAAATCATTATTCTTTCACATTTCGAATAGACCTCTCGACGAATTCGTCATTGGGAAAATGTCCTTGTTCGCTTTATCCTCGAATATATAGTATATGTATATAGACATATATAGTATATGTATCAGTTGCATGCTGCGAGGGTGATAGTGAATGCCATATATGTGGTGGTAGTGGCACTGGCTAAGTTGTAAATTTGGCGTATAACCATTCGGGGGTGGCCCTGGTCGAGTAGGCCAGGTTTGTCCTCTCTATCTCTATTCATCTATTTATCTCCCTCCCTATTTCTCTCTCTCTCTCCTCCATATCGTAATTTTTGTTAAACACATAATTATTCCATCTCTTTATCTGCGACTACTCGCATATATGCTATATTTTTAAAAATGAAAATTTAAAAATAAAATTATCCAAAAATTTGCGGCGCTTTTGAAATAACTTTCTCAGAATATCACAAAACTATTGATAGAAAAATGCAAAAATAAAATGTAAATTATTCGTAAACTTTATATCTCATCTTTGCGTTTCAATTAAAAAATATTATAACATGAAAATTTCGCGGGATTAATAAATCATTATTCTTTCACATTTCGAATAGACCTCTCGACGAATTCGTCATTGGGAAAATGTCCTTGTTCGCTTTATCCTCGAATATATAGTATATGTATATAGACATATATAGTATATGTATCAGTTGCATGCTGCGAGGGTGATAGTGAATGCCATATATGTGGTGGTAGTGGCACTGGCTAAGTTGTAAATTTGGCGTATAACCATTCGGGGGTGGCCCTGGTCGAGTAGGCCAGGTTTGTCCTCTCTATCTCTATTCATCTATTTATCTCCCTCCCTATTTCTCTCTCTCTCTCTCTCTCTCTCTCTCTCTCTCTCACTCACTTCCTCGTTCCGCTTTTCGGAGGTAGTCGACGAGGGGGCGAGCGGCAGGCAGAATGGGGGGATGAGACAGGAGACGGGGGTCGCGTAGAAGCATTCATAGCAGGGACCAGAGGGTGGCTTCGGTGGAATGCGTCCCGTTTAATATCGCGGAACATTATATATCGCCTCTCTTGTCCCTACGTTGGCCGTGCCGAGCGCGGTATAACGTGTGCAAACACACTTTCGCAGATGCATATATGTACAGCAACCTAGCCACGATGACGACGACGACAATGTGTCCGATAACGCACTCGGGAGGTCTCGAGGATACCTTTTCATAAACGCCGGCGAATCTTTCGCAAAGCGTTGATAGTTATTTATCGCCGATCGCATGAAAGTGAAAAAAGCCTGATTTAGTTCGTCGGTTATTCCACACTTGGCTTTATCCTTTTATCCGATCGAGTACATTTAGCGTATCTATATATATGTATATAAGAAATGCGGCAGCATTGACCTTGTCAAGAAAATGCGAAAGAGTTACGTAATTCATAATTTCGAAAGCAATATTAAAATAGAGAATACTTTAGTTTCTCTTAAAAAATGACAAAAGAGACATTCAGAAATTATTCGAGATTAATTGAAAAACGGGTCCTGTTATCTATGTTTAGGTCTTTGAAAATTTTTTGTTTAATTTTTAAAATTTATCTACATATATCTTCTCTCTCCGTATCTTTTTACAAAAGTTATTGACAGATCATTTTTCTTATCAAGAACAAAAAGAGGTTGGAGAATTCAAGGAAGTAGAAGTTACGTCTCGCTTAATATTTTTCAACGTAGCGAGTATTGTCAGATGATAAGATTGTAATATTGTCATAATACCGTCGTGAGGATACGACG